TTTCAGAACTTAAAAAGGGAAACCCCAAAGTACAGTTATATCCCTCAGATAATGATGTAGAGAGAGAGATAGACAAATAGAAAAAAACAGGATAGAAAGGTAGACAGAGACACATACTTTGGAACAATTTCACCATAATCGTCAAGACAGGAATTTACAATGCTTTCTTGTTTCTCCAGAAGACTTGCAAGTGCTCACCGAAGATCAACATTATTAAGTATATTTAAACACGAGTAACTAACTCGTGAATCATAACTTTGACTCTCAGTATACCAAGTCCCACGTCTAATTTTGAAAGCGTCGTTTCTCTAAAATCCTCCTTGCACCCATTCAAGAGCTCAGCTTCCTATCGCCTATCTTTCTCCTCCCCAGCGCCCTGCCTATTATTCAGCTCCGGAGAGCGACATGTTTGATCTGCCGCGGCCCGCGCGCCCTCTCCTTTTGTTGACGAATGCCCGTCAAGTCGAGGCCCGATCCCGGCGCCGATAAGGGCCCGGCGCAACTCGCGGGCAAACAGTATTAGAAGGTCCCGGCCCGCGGGGCGGCGGGGGCGGGGTATTGAACTTGCTCGGTCGATAAGCACCTCGCCCGCCCACCCGCCCGCCCACTCACGCGCTGGTCGTGTTCACCGTCAGGGTTACCGCGGCGATGACGCGGCGTCCGGGCAAGCTGGAGCACTGGAAGCGGTGCGGTGTGAGCCTCAGTTGCCGGAAAGCTGATGTGTTTGTATCGGGATGGATGTGAATGGGGATTTTGTTTCGTGATTTATTCGAACAATATCAGGCGAATGCTGAATTGATTGATTAGTGATTCCTGACGCCTGAACTGCTAAGATCGTTAGCCCCGTAAGTGTATTGCATGATCTTCCTCGGGAGGTGGCGGGTGATGGCGAAATACGGTGCCGACCTACCGTCGGCTAACGGGGTTTTCCCCAACCAGGAATCTTCCACCAGCGGGGCACCAACCTACCCAGCACAAGTTCAAAGATTCGGACCGGTCTTCCGACATGAGCGGTAGTGTAGAGCATGTACGTGTAAGCGTGTGTAAGAGACGATAGGACAAGAAAGGGGAAGGAGTGATCGCGCGCGGTCCATGGCACATTTGTTAGGGTAGGTACTGATCTGTCAATCGCCTGAAGTTGATCGGAGAAACATCGGAAAACCGATCAGATCATCAGGCGCGAAAGCTGGAGCAATATCCTTACAAGCGGTCCGCTAATCGCACGTGATATTTACTTCCTCACCCTCGTTCCTTTCTATCTCCTTAAATACACGTTCATATGCACTATACAATCACACAAGTAGGGAGACCAGTTAGGAACTTAGAGCTGCCCTTATTGGGGAGATTGACCCCTTTGGTGTGAGATATTTGGAAGGGGAAAGCTAGAACGTAGGACGGCAAGGGGGGACATTCCCACTTCTCAAGATGTAACACGTAATACACTTACGGGACTAAATACCTGCGTAGTTGACGTAATAGAATTCAATATTCATTCACGAACTGAAGACAGTGTGAGTAGCAAAGCGGTGATGTGGCGCGACTGCTGTAGCAGAAGAGGAGGGGGAGGAGAAGGAGGCGCCGGTGGCACGCGTACAGACAGGATGGACAAAAAGGGCGGCTTCGTGAATGCCACCACGTCGTGCCTCGCTGCTTCACTTGGAGTCGGGCGCCGCGCGCCGGTACAACGCTTTGGGACGGCGCCGGAAAAAAAAGACAGCTGATAACGGCAGAGACAGATGCGGTAGCGGTGATTGTGATGCGGAGTTGGGTAAGGTCATTGCTAGAGACGGAGACCGGAGATCGTGGTATTACAACGGCGGGAATCCAACACGGAAATGTAGATGTTCCGATCTTGAATTGAATTGAATTTGCTTTATTTTACGTGGCCATCAGGCCCGCTCTTCCGTCTGACCACGCAAATTTCGCTATGCTCTTTTCACCAACTAGGAGAGAAAGGAGGTATTTCTTGGGCGAGAAACAGGCGATTTGAATTTAGCTCAGAGGCGTCATTTAGGCTTGAGGATCTTTTACAAGCAAGTAAATCTACGAACATGGGACAGCCGGCTTTACTTCCCCTCCGAAGGAAGGCGTACGAAGGATTTTTTCGCCCTTAAAAATCCACGGCTTAAACGCCCTTAAAAACCCGCCAACTTCGGTACAACAGTCCAGTACGCTAACCGTTACACCATCGCCGCCTTAAAAGCGAGTCTTATCTAGCGAGTATGTGTTGCTAATTAGCGGCCGGAATTTGTGCCTATCGGGGCAGCGTGCTATTAAAATACGCGAATAAATAAATAGGATAACACTGTAATTCCATGTCAACTGTGTTTTCGTCAAAATATGATGTGTCATCCCACTGAGCGTCGAGGTGAAGCGTAAGGCTTGCAAGAGCTTCACGCGGCTGAGGCCGGGATTTGTTCCTCTCGGTGCAGCGCTCGCTTTCTTGGGCGCCGTGCGCCCGAGAGCGAACTCCCGATGCGATTCGTTCCCTGCACTCGCTTCAAGTGGCACCCGCATTGTGTCCCGCACAAAGGCGAACCAGCTGCTACTCCGACATGTTGCACACAAATGTCATTCTGAAATGCAGGAGCTTTACAGTGTTCCCATTTCTGCTATGTTTGCGTTTTTACATTTCGTCACGAGACGATCGTAAATAATATGGAACATTTTCGCTACAAGAAGTGATAAATAATATTTTATATTTTTTAAATGAACTTTTAGAAACTTTCACAGGAAACTAATACATAGTTAAGAAGTATATTAAATTTCTTGGCCAGAATACATTGTGGTGAAGGCGTATCTTATCTCAGCTTCGTGATTGCTTTTGATCGCAACTTACGTTTACACTTTGAACCAGTTAAAGGGAATGTGTTTAACCTTCTTTTAGAAAATAACTTAATTTATCAGTAGAAAATTGTTTATCGTATCAAACACGACTAGCATACAAATGTGCTGAAGGCAAAAGGAAAAAGTTAGGAGATAAAAGCAAGTGTTTTTGAGGCCTCTAGGATATATAAGAAAAGTCATACTACTTATAAAACTTCATTCTATGTACATATTGTTCCATATTGCGGAAAGGGAGTAGTAGGGTGATTTACAAGAGTGTCAATTTGGCAGTTTTCACTAGCGTTTCATAAGAAAATTATCACAACACATTACGCAATTGTCTGATATTGAAGTACAAATAGGAAACAATGTTGAACATCATTTGTTTTGTTCCTAGATCGTTATTCAACATACTCAATTTTCTCTTTTTATATTTTTTATTATAAATGTTTTAGTAGTCTGCAGCACCAAAAATATTTCTGTACAAAATACTTTTTCAAAACTTAACATGCACAGTATTCAAGAACAACAAAGAAAATACTCTTGTTTAATACTTCCAAAAATTAAATGTTTAAACGAAAACAATTTTCACGAATATTACAACAATACAGAACAGTATATAGAAATACAGTACAATTCTATACGTATATTAAGAATATCAAGCAAAGTTGCTGTTTCTTAACTCAACTCGTGAGTAACAAATATTTAATGAAGGGTGAAGTCTTGCTCTCGCACGACGTGATCGATGTCGTAAGAAGTGACGCACAAATAATAAGAATTTGGTCGGCACGCGCAATATGAGGATAGATTGAAATATTACGATAAAATACATGCATTTTTCAGCCAAAATCGCATGTTTTATTATTTTGAATTTTCCCGAATTCCTGGCTGTCTAACAAAACTATTCACACCTTACACTTGGCCAGAGACTTCATAGATTTCTTTCAATTTATGCGCGCATTGCAAAGTATTTATAAACATGATACTGAATTTTTCTCAAGTTCCTGGGTATCTAAAGAAACCACAGACACTGCTTAAATATGTTTTCAATTTCATCGCGCAGGGTAAATAAGTAATAAAGACGCTGAAATTCACCCATTCTTTACAGTCGTCTTGAAACTGTCAGTCATGGGAAACATTCCGACAGCACGTCTACCCAATCATGTCGATGGCGCGCGTTAATCATTTCAACCTATTTTGGAGCGTCAGGCGCTAGTCGTGTCGCGTGAGGTGAGAGTTAATAAACGGAAAGAAACGTGCGAGGTCGGCCGGTGATGTCATGGAGAAGACAGGGTGACGCACCGTTTTCAGAAGAATGCGAGAATACGGGAGGGAGCGCTTGCGCAAGACACGCTGTTGGCACGCGACCGCTTCATTTGCGGGCCCACGGCGTTGCGTGGTTCTTCCTGATTTTCCACATTTCCATCGTAATGAACCAATAACAAGTGGGCTTTGTTTCGCAGTAGGGTGACCCAGAAATGAGCATGGAAAAAAAACTATGACTGTAAGGAAGAATTGTAATAGATTGTGTTTTGTAACGGTTTTGTTTGAATTGCTGTCTATGACGAATATACGTTTTAAAGGCAACAAACATGTGTGTTTAAGGATAACGTTTTTCCCCCCAACGATCATTCTTAGAATCTCCCAAGAATATCAACTTCTCCGTGCTTAATATCTTGTCGGTAAAATATTCTAGTCTCCTTCCAGATCATTTTGTTATGAATGTTCTCGTATTCATTCTTTTACTTAACTTACTTGAAGGATCTGTTGCATTCTGTACCTTTTTATATAATTAAGTCACAAGCCGGGGTTATGTATTCCTGCTAACCCTACACCAATCCAAAAATGATGTAGCTAGTGTCGAAAATCCAACATTACCGCGACTCACGGATCTCCTAGTTCCTGAGGATCTTAATTTTTTTAATATTATAAATTTTAATTTGCAATCTGTTACATCCGAACAATAAGCTCGCCTTTGCCAAATCTTTTCATGTGAAGAAATTGGGCATTCACCGTTCTTCAATGATTTATTTTCTTTAGTAAACAAACATGAATTATCATAACTGAAGAGGTGTTGGTGATTCCATCGAGCTACTGCAGCTGTTATTTTGGCCAGTAACTTTTTTTTCTTCTGGCGGGTGCTCCCTCCAAGCGCCGGGGCTGCGCGTACTCACGTGAGCGTGTCGGCCATGTCGAGCAGCGCGGTGGGGCCCGTGGCGATGAGGTAGCGCACGATCTGCTTGTGGCCGTAGCGGGCGCCGTAGTGCAGCGCCGTCTGCCCCTGCGCGTCGATGGACAGCAGCGAGAAGCCCGCGGCGTGCAGCTCCTTCAGCTGCGGCAACGGAACGCGCACTTACGATACGCACGCGCACGCGCAAACAAGTGCGCGGCCAATACAATTCAATGCTGTTTATTTACAAATGACTGATTTTCGTAGTAAATAAATAAAACGTAACTCAAGGAGGATGAAATAACATAAATTATACAATTGAATGGGTGAAAACCAGAGCGGTATAAGTGACATTTTATAAATTATAAGAAAAACGCGTTTATTTTAGGCTATATTTCAGTGGTCATGTATTTTCGTGGTTTTAATAAACAATAGAAATGCCGCGATTTTAATGATGAAACGAAGCGCCATTACTTTGCAGTGATATTGACTTAAATAAACAGATTTCTCACAATTGTTAATACTTAATTTCACTTATACCGTTCTGTTTCTCACCCATTCAATTAATGAATAAAATTGGTCCTGAATTATTTGCGATGTCGGCAGATGATTTGTAGAGCCTCTTCCCAAAATGTTGTGTATCAATTCCCCAAATTGTTACCTTATAGTAGGGGAAAATCAATTGACCATATTTAGGAAAATGAAATATTTTATTTAAGATTACGAGGCCTCGTTCGAAATTTTTATAGGGGCCACGAACCCTGCCCCCCACTGCGCTCATGCTTATGGATAAGCATTTACATTTGTGTAATTCTTGAAAAAACAAAGAAATACTTTGAGATGAACTTCACGTAATATTCAAGTCTGCAATTAACACTATCCTTTCAAAAATTTTGAATAAAAAATTCGTATCGATTATTAGAAAATGGCGTTTGAGCGTTTCTGAAAAAGCGAAATTTCACAGAAAACGGTTAAGTTTATGAGAAACTATCATTATTTAAAGTATATGTACTCATAAATATAATGTGAACAAATGTCCGCTGGTGTAAATATTAACGACACGAGAAAAAAGTAAAAAAAAATTAAGTTAAAAAAATAGAGCAATATGACGTTTATGTCATCTTATAGAGTACATTTAGCACTCTACCAAACTTTTAAGGAAAACAATTGGTGCCATTTTTGATAAAATTTTCTTCGAACTGTTAATTGGCAATTTGAAGCTTCACAGAACATATTCACAGAAAATTTTAGAGATTCCGAAAAACTTTAACAGGAGTCTTTTAATGCACTATAATTCACAATTACAATAGTGTTTACAAATGGCTGTTAATGGGCATATTAATGGAGAAAGAGATATTTTAAAAAATGCATTTGTGTATTTAAAAAACACACTAAAAGATTACCCAAAATTAACTTTACGAAATATCAAAGAGTCTAATCAGCAGTATCCGTTCGAAACGTTTGAAGAAAAAATATGGAACTGTTTTTGACAAAATGGCGTTTGAACGATTCTGAAAATGCGGAATTTTGAGCTAGTTTTCAGAGAAAAATGTTGAGTTTTCGAGTAGTACAAATAGAAACAAAGTGTGAGACAAGTCAATAGATACATTTTTGTTATTTTTTAAAAACAAAAACAAAAGAATAGTAGTCCAGTCAATTGGTGCTCAAAAGAGGCCGATTCAGGGAAAAATTCTAGGAGTTTTTTTCTCAGCGGTTCTATATGTTTTAAGAGCGCTGAATCTGAATCTGAATAACTATTGTTTCGATAAAACACATAGTTTTGAAAATATGAGTGAAAAACTAAAAAATGGCTAATATTTTACATTTTTCGCAATTTTCTCTGTAAAGACGACATTTTTGGAGGTGGCAAACAGCATATTCGAATTCAGCACCTTCAAGGACATATAGAACTGTTGATAAAAAACGTCCGAAATTTTTTCCTTGGTTATAAACCTTTTGACTGAACTATAGAGCAAAATGACGTTTATACCATCTTATAGATTGCATTGAGCAGTATCCCTACCAAAAGTTAAAATAAAAAAGTTGTAGCCATTTTTGAGACAATCTTGTTTTTGATATTTTTTAATATTGCACATATTGCACGCAATATTGGGCAAAATCTACTAATTGTTTTGTACATGTTCTTCTTCAAAGAAATTACTTACTATGGAGAACAAATTTCAAATGAAGGAGAAAACTCTATCCTTGTGTACGTTGTAATTGTGTACGTATAGGAAGACGACAGAGATAATTCGAAATTTTGCAATTTTCTAAAATTTAGAGTAAACAATGAAAAAGTGACATATGCTGTCTTTATAAGTGTATTTTACTGTATTCTTTCAAAAATATTAAAGAACAAATTTGGAGTCGTTGAGAAAATTTTGAAAATTACCCTGGGGCTTCATGAAAGTACCCTAAAAATTAATGAATGTTTTTCAAAATCGCATAAATTTGACTCAGACCAAATCAACAGAAGTGTATTCAGTTTGGAAAAAAATGTACGTATTGTTTAGGTGGTAGTGTTGTTCACATATACTAGACAGAAGACAGACGAACAGACGGACGGACGGAGAGACGGGCGTTTTGGAAAACACTTTTTCGATATTAGGGGACCGTGTATTTTTGTTGAAAACACTAAATCTATATTTTCGCAGCATTACAATACTTTCCCTATACTAGGTATGAGTTTTCGTATGTATATGGACAATAACTAATTGACCTCAAAGCTAATAGTGCAATGCAGGACAAATTATAATTAATAAATCTGATTTAATTCTATATATAACTCTCAATGAACTTATATCAAAAAATTAAAAACGGTGCCAGACGTTTTTTTCCATAATTTGGTATAAATTATAGATGTGAATAGACTTTTTTCCAAAATTAAGTTTGTGAAGTCTTAGTACAGGAGTAACGTAAATGATGAATATTTGAAGGTATATTCATATTAGATGAAACAAAAATTGGGCAACGAATTAACTTATTGTTAGAGTATAAAAAAATGCATGCCCTCATTAAGGTAAGTTTTAATTACGTATTATTTATGTGCTTACGACAAGAAGTGTCTGTAATTAAATTTTCAAATTATAGTCCTCAATGTGTATTAATTATTATAAATATTATGTGATTGCGCTCATATGCTCATGTGTTTTGAGAATTAATTTGCGAATTGCTAACTTTTTTCGTTCTTTAATTAAAATATAATTTAACAAATAAACTATAAATTCATTCCTATCATGAGATTTAGTTTTTGTTCCTCGTGTCTCATAAAAACGTCTAGTTTGGACCTCTAGAGGTAGAAGAAAGAGTGTTGACCTCTACTATTACGTGCTGCAACTTACATAAATTTAGGTATATTAGTAATATTAATATGTGGAAGCGAAACAGAAAAAAATCTCTGCACAAAAAACAGAACACCGTAATATTTACTCTTCTTTGGTTATGCACTCTATCAAAAGATCTAAAGGTTTCATGTATTTTAATTTATTTACCATTTATATCTAAAATTACTTGTTTAACACGAAGTTAAATATGTATTGAAATTGTATCAGTACACAAGTCTGTGAGAAATGAAAGTATTTGTTTTCTAATTGTGGAAGCATGAACCCCCTGCAGTCTATTCATAACTTGTGTGCTTTGAGGGTATGAATGACAAGAGATAGCATCGACCAACTAAACTTCATTCAAATAAGCTACATTGACAGTTCTGTTAAACCGTCGGTATGAAGATATTACGGTTTCAAAGAAATATATCTCTTTGCGTACGTCAAAGATATAAATAAAAATAAATGAACATGTTAATTTAAAAAAGAGTTAAAACATGATAATATGTTTCACTAAATAAATAACACTATACATACATCGCGATATGTATTAATAGGAGCAAGGTGCGTGTTAGGCTGTCATATTGTAAACTGAGTAACTACTTTTCAGTTTCCTATCATATTTTTACAATTAACTGACATAACAGTTAGACGCAATATCGTAAACTGTTTATGACCAATTAATCGCGTTTAATTTTTAGTTTGTACAGTTATCTTCATCATCATCATCATATCTTCTTTTCTCTTCCTTCTTCTTCTTCTTCTTCTTCTTCTTCTTCTCTCTTCTCTTCTTCTTCTCTTCTTCTTCTTCTTCTCTATGTTGGTCTGTTATGTCCAACCACCCAGTCTACTTTCAGGTATTATCTTCCCCTTTTTAAAACATTGCAATAATATTCTCCAAATAATAGCGTAGCAGAACCTGCATTTTTTATTATTCGTTAAATTAGAAACAAATTGAAACATTAGTTGTTTTGCAACAATTTAACGTCTCAGTAACAGATAATATCATTGACGTGTACTCATGAGCAATCCATTACTTTTCTTCTCATTTTCAATACCCAACGTCATCACCATCCTTCTCATCTCCGCTGTGGTCGTCTTAAAGTTCGCCTATTGTCTCCATTGCCTCCCGTTTCTTTCCATTGTTATTTAATTCGTCCCATCAGCGCCCCTTGCGACGGCGTGCGTGAACCTCGAAGGGGGCGTTTATTTAATAACCGTGATCCGCGCTCTTTGTGCTGCGGGAAGGGAAGCCAGACCGTCGCGGGGGCGCAGGGGAGCGCAGCGCTCTAAGGCGCCCGGGGCGGAATCGCAAGCTATTACTCGCGCGCTGCGGTCGCGCGCAGGAGCCGCTAGGGGCGCTCGGGGCCTGTGGCGCCGCCGCGACGGGATCTGACGGCTGCGGCAACGGCGGCTGCCGGGAAGGTGTGGAGTCGACGGCTTGCGGCTGTGGAAGCCGGTTGGTGGGAGTGCAAGGCGTCGTCGAAGCCAAGCAGCTCAAATACGTGGGAGGTGGCGGTAAGCTGCCAAGGCAGACGTTGACGAGAGGCGAGAAAGCTCGGGGCGAAAGGAGATGAAACAATGTGATGGATGAGAGAAGCGGAGGGGGATCGAAAATGCAAGTCGCGACACAGAGGCAAGATACCAGCAATAAAGATGATAATATTTCATATGATATCGCCTGCGGAATGAGAAATGATGATTGAAGCGAAGCAGGACGACGGGGTTGAGGCAAGACAGAACCACGACTGGATGGATGAAGACAGGAGACTGACATCAAAAGTGGGAACTGAAGTGGAAGACACGTCGGACGGAATCGAAGAGTGTGGAGTCTGATCT